CGGGTCGAAAGCATCTTGCTACTGGACGTAAGCGAAAGACAGTAGACAAGGTAGTACAGACGATATGTTAATGTCTTTTCTTGCCCGACTGCTGTAATAGTTTACATATTTGGCCGCAATCAAATGACCTTGATGTGCTTAACCTTACTGTTAGCGTGATGACAGCGCAACCGGTTGGTTTGATAAGATTTTGGGTTTACCAGAGACGTAAATGACGTATGTACGTCAGGCGTTGTCCGATCGGTTCGTCCATGTGGATAGTCAAAACGTTAGTTCGTTATAGCATCGCCCACGATAAAGTTCCAATATACTTACCATTTCATAAGGCCTGCCTTCATTTCGTCGTTTAATTTTGTATGATGTTTTCATATGAGGTGTTTGTCTGCCTTACTGATAGCGTAGTTGCCAATCTCCAAGTTGATTGAACTGTTCATTAATATGTGGTACGTGTGTAGGATCTGGGCAGGAATGGAGTTCCACGGTCTCACACAATTACAGAAGTGCACTCTTCTGGTCGATAAAGTCGAACGATATTTAAGTCATGTGGTCAACAAGACTGGCGCCGGTGTACGGTCATTCACAGGTCACCGAACAAAGCCGCAGGTCCTTAAATCTTGACTCGTTCAACACGGAAGTGATCGGTTCGCACAGATGTAAATAAATCTTGTAACGCCTTACCTGTACCTGAATGTTGAAAAACGCAAACAATGCACTCTGACAGGGCATTGTCAAGAGTAGAGTAGAGTAGAGTAGAGTAGAGTAGAGATTGGTGATGGCAGCTAGAATGTCGTCTCAACGCCCAGAATACGCCCTAGACAGAATATCAGCTACGATGCTGGTACACAGCGAAAAGAGATGAATCTCCAAAATCCGATTTGCTATCCTCCACGAAGAACTGACAGGTCTTTAGCAGTCGACGCCTCCGACACGCTCACACCGTTCTTCGTCATGGTGGATGGGAGGTTGACCGTTTATCTGGCATCTTGTCGCCGTGTCAATCCTCAGACTGGCGAAACCACACATGTGCCATCCAATAGGGTGTTCAGAGAAGCGAACAGAGGTTTTATAGCAGTAGGACCATACCTGTCTTTGGCTACCAGAGTGACGGCTTGGATGTTTAAGTTTTACGGGCAGCGGCACGCGAGCGCCTGGCCGTCTTGTTTCCGCTCGCTGGAAAAGTTTTGCGGGCGTGGTCTTGTAGCCGCATGTTCTGCACTGAAGCAACTTCTTACACCCGAACCCGATGTTCTGTTCCAGTTTCCTGGAAAACTTTCACACTTCTCTGCCGCTGTGTTTGCGATGTCCGGCGTTGCTCTTATTAGTCGTAGAACTTGTCCGTTGACATCTTCGAAGAAGAAGCATGAATGGGCCGTGCGGAAGTTCGGCGGCGCCTGGATGGTGCGCGCGCTGTTCATGATGGCCTGCAAGACCTCGAAGATGTTCCTGCTGTCTTATGCTGCTGTGAGGCCCCCAGATAACGTTCCCGTACTCGAGATGCGGGCGCACCATTGTCTTGTACAGTATGGGGATGGTGTGCTCGTCAAGGTTGTAGAATGACCTTTTGATCAATCCTAGTAACTGGTTGCCTTTGTTTGCAGCCCTGGCTGATTGCGAGTGAAAGGTGAGTTTACTGTCCACAATTACGCCTAAGTCCTTCTCTTCCTCTGTTTCCATGATTTTCTGCCCACCCAGAGTGTACTCAGCTTTCCTGTTCGACCCTCCCAGATGCATGACTTTGCATTTGCCAACATTGAATTGCAGTTGCCAGAGTTTTGACCAGTTGTCCACTTCATTGAGGTCCCCCTGAAGGGCTTCAATGCTGCTAGTTTGCTTGACATTCCCGTACAGTTTGCTGTCATCAGCGAATATCTTCACTGCACATGATACAGACTCGGGTAAATCGTTTATGTATAGAACAAATAGAATTGGACCCAGCAAACTCCCCTGTGGTATGCCACTTCTTACATCTTTCCACGAGGAGACCTGATCGTTGACCACCACCCGTTGTTTCCTATTTGACAAGAAGTCCTCAATCCAGGCTCTTAGGTTTCCCCCACTCCATACCTCTCCATCTTGTTAACCAGCCTCTTGTGAGGGACGGTATCAAAGGCTTTTCGGAAAATCCAGGTATATCACGTCTACCGGATTTCCTTCTGTTTTATGAGACACACAGATGTAATGAGTAGTCTTTTCGCGTTTGTATATAGAGTACGCAGTTGCATGTTGTCATATCTTTCAACCAAAGTTTGTATTTGTGTAAGTTGACATAAATGGCACCATGAAACATCAATGCATTTTAGATTCCTGTAAATTAAGTTACACTGCTTCTCTGCATAACTATTAGCTAACGTGTTAATTTCCACAACATTTCCATGGAAAAAAACTAAAAGCCTCGAGGAAGCCCCGATACTGCGGAGGATCCCTGCCGTCGGGGTACCTATCTCTGATGGCCCACACGCACACGATGGAATGACCCTGCGGACGTTTTTCCCAAGTCCACCGTGCAGCTGAAGTTTGTGTAGGCCTCCCATCTGTAGTTCTTGTTTTCGATGCCTTTCTTCATGATTTTAGTCATCCTCATCCTCAGGGTGTCCTGGTTCAGGATGCAAAGGTTAAAGTTCACATGGTCAACGATGCACATGATGTCTGACACGCCTCTGTCCTCGCTCTCTGTAAAGGTCGTGACAGCAGACGCATTCCCTCACAGTTGGCATTTTCCTGCAGTTGCGGTATCTGCACCAGATGAACTTCTTCAGGCGCCCCCCCCTGTTTCTACATCGACCCCGTCCCACTGGACGCTTTACGCCTCGATGAGTTCTGGATGAGTCCCCAGTCTCCACGGCCGATCTCCCACATCTTGGCTCAAAGTTATACGTAGTGATATTATGTATATCAAACCCCTCGAACTCCTCAAAACCCTAAAACTCGTTAACCCTTTTGGACTAATATAAAACAAGTATTATTTTTTGGTATACTTATTATACCGCAGTAGGCAGAAAAAATAGTATTGGCCACTTTAATTCTCTCTTTCCTTCAACTTTTATGGTTGCATACATTTGCTTGACAAATAAGGTTGTATTCATCCTTATAATGCACATCCTTGGACCGTTGGCTTGCAAATTTGACGGTCAACAATTAGTCATTGTGCTTTATCTTTCATCGTGTACACTTATTCTTGACTTGCGCCTGGTTTCTTCTACATTTTGTAGGCTCAATTTTTTTCCACTCCGACACACTCCTGCAACATGGTTTCGCTTTCTACACGCCGAGCATTCCTTCCCATACGCTGGACGTGCTTCTTCAGTTGATGCGTGTTTCCTAGCGCTGTATTTGCAGTTTGACATCTTACCCGTGGAGCTGCTTGGGGCTTCTTCTTCACTACTTGTATATCCATTTTCTATTTTATGATGCGATAGAAAGAACAACATTTATTTGTTACGTTCATAGATAATGAAAGATATATAAGAATGTTCTACTTCACTACTACAGAATATTGTCTGTTGTCTCCAACAATTTGTATGGAAATAAATCACGTTGTCCATCAGCTTCCCAAAAGGTCCAAAGCAGTCACTCTTCCCGTACCCGGTTGGCAACAAGGCAAATGCATGATGCCCTTTGGCAAGGGTAGTCAGGATTCTCTTATGCTCTCCCTTGAGCTCATAGGGTAGATCAAACGTGGAAAAAAAAGAAACTCGTAAGAAAAATATGGATTGCCCAGGTCCCAGATGAGCTCATTTCTTGTGATGAGAGAAAAGGCATATTTGGCACCATAGCACTCTGTTGATTTTCACCTCTTTTATGAATTTTATATTAGTAATGGTATGAGGATCATTTCAATTTAAAAAAAAAACTTAATTGTGGTGGAAGTAAATGTATTCCACAATTTGTCACAGCTCATTCTTGTTAGATCTTTTTTTTGGTCATGCATACATATAGGAAAACAAATCTGATGATGTGGTCGTCAATGCATCTTGCACTTGCAATTGGGAGCTTTAGATTTCGTGCTCGGGAGATGGTTGTTTAGTCGTCGGTATGAGAGTAGAATTTGTTCTCCGGTGAATCGATCACGCTGGTAGAGAAATTCCCGGGATGACAGACCGTTGGAACGAACCTTTGGCTCGTAGAAAGCGGCGTAATATGGCGACGGGGCAGGAGGTGTTGTCATTTTGCGCGATGCAAGACCAGTGACCCTCTCTGAATTGGTCATTCCTTTTTTTTTCGGCAAGAAAAGGGTGACGTAACCATTGCAGAAAGCGATGTCGTCTACGTGCAGTTGTCTCAGGTCGTCCCAACGTAGGAATCCAGAGAAGCCGAGTACAATCAAGCACAGAGTTTGTAGGCTGTCTAGGCTAGAGGTAGGCGTCAAGAAGGTGAAACACAGGTTGTGAATGTGGTGAGAGGTACATGTAGCTTTTTCGAGACTGGGGCGGCTAGGAGATAGCTGTTTCGTCTTGCAATAGTCACAGTCTAAACACCTTTCTCTCACTCATAATATCAATTTGTAATATCAGTAAATAACGATTTCAGAGGGCAGGAAATTACATTAAACCAAAAACTTAAATTCAGACTGTCGGTAATGTAAATATAATATATGTATATTCGCATTATGCAAACAACATATATGCATATGTACATTTTTACAAGTGTATTTTCACATAGGTAGCTTGTTCTTTATGTTTCATGTTTGTTAAATGTCCTGAGTCTGTTTCTTTCCTTTGCAAAGGTAATCTGTTACTATACTGTACTATACCATACTATACTATACTATACTGTCTTCTGCCTCTCTCTCTAATCTATTTTGTTACTAGTAAGTTATCTCCGTGTTTGAGGACAAGTCCTGCTACAGGTGGGTAGACTACTTCTTGTCCTCGAAGAGGTCCTTCACCTCGATATCCTTGGTCGGACGGTTGTTCCGATTGATCAGCTGCCAGTCAACGTCATCCCCAGACGGGTAGGCGTCCCGCACCACCTGGAGGATGTCATTGCTGTACAACAGGAATTTGTCGCTGTTGGCACGGTGAAGTCCCTACAAGTGACAAAAATATATGGAGAAAATCGCATCAATAATACATTAAAAAGCTGCACAATAAAAGTAGGAGATATAAAATGTTACTATTTCAAGGAAAGTTGGATTGAGGGTATTTCACTTACATAGACGAGAATGCCGTACAGTCCCCTGTACACCTTGTTTCTTCTGTTGAAGTTTGTCTCCTGGTACCTATACTGGGAGAATATCCCAGGGACCCGTGAGCTCAGCCGGTGGTACCTACACAAAGAAAACAAACTGATAAATTTCCATTCCAAATCCATAGCGTGTACTTTAAATTTATTTTAAATTAAAATTTAGAAATAAAAATTAGACAGCAACATATGTTATGCATAAGAAATCTGGCAGATTGAGTTGGAGATGTGTTTGCATGTCAGCTTGAGCTTTCTCGATTTGGCTTCTGAGGGTGTCGTGTATGTGGGGATAGGCTTTCTTCAGGATGTCGTAGTAAGTTGTCACTGAAAAGTTGGGAATGCCAAGTCCTAATACAAGAACCTTGTTGTATCCCATCCTCGTCGCCAGATGTTATGTCCTTTGTCCGTTAGAGGTAGCTATTTGAAGGAGAGACACAGCCAGGAGTAATCACTCGGTGATAGTGTAACGTGAACTGTTTTAATCTCCATAGGGTTAGTGTGGGTTCGGGTAGTCTGGGTCATGAGGTTAAAGTTAGGGGTCGATCATTAAGTTCGGGGTCGATCAATAGATATAACACCCTTCATAGGTATACCCATTGAGTATAAATGAAAGGGCTACAGAGTGGCCAGCGATTTGTCTCCTCCCTTCCCTCACAAACGTGGACGCGTCAAAGGCGACACCACCATACTTCAGCCATCACACTGGAACTCCTGTAGAATTTGGGGTCTGTGTAACTTTAGGCGTTAAGCTTACTTCGTGTCTACCTTATCTGCTAGGTTAAGTTAACGTTCACCACTAAAGATATAAGACACAGAGCCGGATCGATTTCGATTGTACGGGTTGCTGTATTATGATCTGCTGTACAAGTGATCAATGGTCTAGTCGTATGAATTACAATGGTCTAGGTTCGTCTAAGTTACAGAGGAATGGAATCTACAAAGGCTATAATAATGAACTACAAGGAGCTAATACAGAGTGTGTGTTACTAACCTGGGGTCCTGGTCTCGACTGAATTCAAACACAAGCGGGCTAACTAATATCTAATCGTGACGCTGACTGCTCTCACCAGTCATTGGCTAATCTAATGAGTATGTAAATGAACTAAGGAGCTAAGGATCTGCTACTAAGCACTACGTCACAAGTCACTACGTCACGGAAACCATAAATCACTAACTGACTGGTCAGGGCTGTTACACTCCACTCTCATGCTGCCGCCACGACCAGTCATTTCCACCTTGCTTGGAACCAGCGGTCCACTGCAGCCAGGAGAAGCGCACACCCTCTTTTCATTCACCTAAAAAGAAAATGAAAAAAAGAAAGAACATAGTCAAATATGCATGGTAGAATAGAATTTCTGTATGAAAATATCTTATCTTTTCATTTTCTGTTCCCAATGGGACATTATGTTTTGTCATTTTGATTGACAAGGATATGCTTGACAAGAAAAATACTTTTATCTGCCAGCTGGCGCCCCCTGGTCCCACTCGACACCTTTTTTTAAAAATTTTCTGGCGATGGCCTTCGTTGCTGTAATGGGTATAAAATGCATAGTATTCATTGCCACAATAGTGAAGCATTTTCTGCTCCCCTGATATTTCCCTTGGACAAAAATATACCCACAGTTTATATTTTTATTGGGGTTTAATATCACATCCGTTCACATTCTGATGCACAGTCTGCTGAGACTGTCAGTGAGAGGAGAGAGAGAGAAACACATTACTTTGCCTTGACTTTCCGGATGATATGGAGATTGAGTGAGTCAGTTCAGTGTTCTGAAGTTTCAGGAGTTCTTCCACCTCATCCTTGAATTCTGTCCCATTGTCCGACTGAACGATGGTACATGTTCCAAGATGGCCTGTGGCAAAGAAAAAAGTTTAAACTTGTAAACTTAAGCTTTAGAACTATGTCAGGTCGCATTTGGCTTAAAACAAGGTAAATCAACTTCTAGCTTTTGTCAATGGATATGCTAATGTATGTAATTTTTTTTCAAGGACCTTTCACAAGGATGACATTATTAAAAGGCTCATGGTCTTGAGATTCAAGCAAAAATATGCCTAACTTGAACGAATTGTCAGTTATCTTAAAATTTTGTCTCTTGAAGTTTTTTTTTGCTGTCCAATGTGCACTAGCCCTAAACCTCAACTGGCTTAGTACTGGCACTGCATCTGCTCTTACAATGTAGAACTCAGCATTACCGTTCTCTAAAGCAGTAAGTAGGGTATGGGTAAAATGTGCAAACTGTAGAATCTCCTTTGTTAAAAGCTGATTGGAGACGGTATTAACGATAGTTGCGCATAAGGTGATAGTACAGTTAGTAAATAAAATATGCACAAAATCTTCTTACTAAAAGTCGAAACTTCATGTCAAAAAATAGGCTTATACCTGGACGCTTCCAAGACAAAGTTTATGTACCTAAACCCAACTACTAACAGGTTAACTTTTCGCCACTGATAGCACTGAAATCGAATGGAAATAGCATGAAACTGTTTCCTATGGAAAGTAATTTATCAATGGAAAGCCCTGATCAGAAGAAATAAAGCAATAGACTTTGAACATTTGGCATGGGGCTGTGCTCTTACACAGCTCGTCGCAAAGCAATAATTTTACAATTTTTACAAGGCTTTATATAATAACTTACTTTTGCAGTCCAATTATTTTAGTTTTGGATGTTATAAATTACCAGCTCTGTGGTTACAGTTGTGGTTTTGTTTGACAAAGGGGACAGATTTTCTCGTTGGGATGGATGGAAGGAATCAAAAGCTCAAGATACTAGAAATCAAAGTCCATTGAAATCTTTTCAGTCTTGAGGTACTGTGTCATGTCGCCGATCATGGATGCTGCTGGTGGTTGTCTTCATCATATACTAACAAAAAAAAGACATTGTTATGTGGGCCAGCTAGTTGTCACGGAACTATTAGCTTGGTACGACCCTGGACTTGTCCAGAATCGCCCAAAGTCGTTATCTTCTAGAATGTCACTTACATGGTTCAACTATAACAGTCTTTTTGCTGCGTTCTTTGGTGGTCTAGTAGGATTTACAGTTAGTTCTAGTCCAACGCGTTTCCCGTACTCTTACTACGGTAACAAGACTATAAGAAATAACACATGGCCACAGGATTCGATCTCACCACCGGGAGATTTATTCACTCGACTCCGAACTTAGTACAACATCAGACACTGGCTAAGAGAAACCATAGACCACCCGTATCCTCTCTTTTGGTTCAGCCACGCGTCTATCGAGAATAGAACTCAAATTTAGAAGAAAAGAAACTGTACACTTGCAGTATATGAATTGAGATGTCATTGCAAGTTGAACAAATTGTTCAACTGGCAATCATGATTATCTAATATATAAGACATGCATCACAAAAGCGACTTCAGGAGTGAAGTACACGCGATATCTCTTCTTCGTGTATGGATTAGTCATGCATATGATGGCTCTCCATCTGACCTCAATCACGTGTTGTTATACATGCTTAAAGTTCTCGGCTGTCCATGCACTCGTTGTTCTGTGTTGGTGTCTTCTTGGGCATTACATTACGGGTTGCGTCTAGGTTTAGTTGTTAAGTGATTATGTCGATTTGCATATATCTATCTGCTACTTTTACAAGAACAAAAGATACAAAGTTACAATGCTTTCATTTTAAGATTATTCATCGGTACCTTGCTACAAACAACTGGCTAAAAAAAGTGAAAACGGTACAAAGTAACAAATGTAACAATTGTAATGAAAAACACACTATTGAACATCTGTTAATACACTACCATTATGTCACATATTTCTGGAAAGATTTTACAAGGTGGTGGAAAAACAAAACACAGCAGGACCTAACCTTAACTGAGAAGCAAATTATATATTGTATACCAGATACTTAACACACAGATCCTATTCTACTGCAATGTATCGTAATAGCTAAATATGTCATATACAGCTGCTTCATTAAAAATATAAAACCTGACATGAAATACTTCCAATGTAAACTAAAACATCACATGACAATAATGAATGCTACCCAGTAATTTGTTTAGATGACAAAGTTATATGATTTCTTATATACACACACCTTTCTTTTGTTATGAATGATTATCTGATGTTATTTTATGTTCCTTCACTTTATCACATTATTCAGGTATAGAACCTTACTACATGAAAATCACTATCCTTTATCTACTTCGAGAGTTACAATAACAGTATCATGTACTAAACAAATGATTGACAACTGGTATAT